TTACTTGTGTATATTTATTTAGTATAAAACCATTTATGACTTATTAAATTATTAGGATCACTTAGTAGACTGTCTGATATTACTTGCAAATTACTTTACAATTCATAATGTTATTTGTCAAATGCCTAACCTCTGTAAATTCACAAATAAAATGTCTTTTAGAGTTTGATAATGTATTTGTTTTCAAATTAATGTAAATTCTTTTAGTTTTACTTGTAAATTGTCTTATGTTGTTTGTTAAATTCATAATGTTAATTGTAAATATGGCTTCTCTCATATGCTATTTACCTTTTTGTTTAAATACTAAGGGTAATAATGTCATTTTGCTATGAAACTTAATTTATATTAGTCTTCAAAACTTTCAATGTTATTTCAAAAATATTTGAGTGTGATTAGAAAATATACACCGACTATAGTCCTTGAATGAAATTCTCTCTTTGATAAAAGCACCATTCATAGGCTTGTGAATAACATAATTTTTTATAAATCATACTCCCTCTATTCAATATTTATAAGATTTTTTTTAAGTGAATTACACCCTTAATGAATTAGTTAGTTATTTTTAAAATTACACATTTTGTCATATTTACTATTATTCATTAGGGTGTTTCAATTATAAAACTTTATTAATTACTACGCCTCTTAGTATTTACTATGCGTCCAGTGATCAAGCTTTAAAATGATACTTAAGAAGCTTATATTACTACTATCCGTAACATATCTACTTGGTTAATTAATGGTTTTTTAACAACCTTAATTATTAATTTCACATTGAAAAATTCAAAATACCTTATGATTTTAATTAAAACACTTTAAAAAAATGTCTTATAATATTGAAGGGAGATAATACACATTTTAAAAGAAAAGTGATATAAATGTGCTTTTATGTAATGTACTACAAAGTTTTAGATAATCTACAATATTTATGACTTGTGAATAGTATAATTTGCTATAAATTTATTATATACATATATTTTTATATATTGATTGATCTATGAAATATAATTAAGATAAGAATTTTAAAATTGACTTCATCATAAAAGAAAACCTTGTAATCAGAAAACTTAATTTGGGTGCTCTAGTCATCCCAAAATGGGTAGATGCTGTTCACCTTAAATCATTTAAATTGACATTGCACTGTTGAGGTTTAATTTAATTTTATAGATGTATAATATAGAATAAAAATAATCTCATGACTATTAAAATTTTAAATAATGATTTTATTTTACTAGGTTGGTTCAAACTTAGACCCCCAAGGCAATGATAGAGGATTGCATTTTTATTGGCATTAATTAGTTCATCAGAATAATGAGAATACGATATGTATACAACAACAACAACAACAACAAGCCTTTATCCCACTAGGTGGGGTCGGCTACATGGATTGCAAGACGCCATTGTGCTCTATCATTTATTAAGCTTTTAGAAATATTATTAATTAAGAGATCACGTTCAACAACTTCCAAGAGTGTTCTCTTAGGCCTTCCTCTACCTCTCTTAATCGGACTCAAAGTTATATGTTCCACTCTTCTCACTGGTGCCTCCCTTGGTCTTCTTTGTACATGCCCAAACCATCTCAACCGATTTTCTACCATTTTTTCCTCAATAGGTGCCACCCTCACTTTTTCACGTATGTGCTCATTTCGAATTTTATCTTTACGTGTATGTCCGCACATCCATCGTAACATTCTCATCTCTGCTACTCCAACTTTATGCTCTTGCTGTCCCGTTAGAGCCCACATTCACTACTATATAACATTGCCGGTCTGATAGCAGTACGATAAAACTTTCCTTTAAGTTTATTAGGCACCTTACGGTCACAAATAACTCCTTTAGCTTTTCTCCAATTAAACCACCCAGCTTGAATTCTATGTGAAATATCTCCACTGATTTCGCCATCATTTTGGATAATGGCTCCCAAATATCTAAACTTTTCCACTTGAGGTATAATTTGATCTCCCAATTTCACTTCCAAATTATTTTCGAATAGTCCTTTATCAAATTTACAATATAAATATTCCGTCTTACTTCTACTCAGACGAAAACCTTTCGACTCCAATGTCCTCCTCCATAACTCAAGTTTGCAATTAACCTCTTCTCTTGTCTCTGCTATAAGAACTATATCATCCGCGAAGAGCATACATTTCGGGATTTCCTCTTGAATATGTTCCGTCAAAACATTTAAAATCAAGTTGAACAAATAAGGACTCAGAGATGATCCCTGATGTAGTCCAATCTTTATAGGAAAATCCTTTGTTTGACCACTAGGCGTTCTTATACTAGTTTTTACCCCCTCATACATATCTTGTATGGCTTTAATATAAGCAATCCGTACTCCCTTTTTTTCCAACGCTTTCCAAAGCACTTCTCTTGGTATACGGTCATAAGCTTTTTCCAAATCAATAAAAACCATGTGTAGATCTTTATTTTACAACGATACTTTTCCATTAATCCCCTTAGTAGATAAATCGCCTCTGTAGTTGATCTACCTGGCATAAAACCAAATTGATTCTCAGAAATACTTGTCTCCAATCTCAACCTGTGCTCAATTACTTTCTCCCACAATTTCATTGTGTGGCTCATGAGTTTAATCCCTCTATAGTTAGTACAATTCTGAATATCTCCTTTATTTTTATAAATAGGAATTAATGTACTTCTCCTCCACTCATCAGGCATTTTCTTGGACCGTAAAATCACATTAAATAACTTAGTTAACCATCTCACCCCTTCTTCACCTAAACATTTCCACGCTTCGATAGATATACAATCAGGTCCGTTAGCTCTACCATTTGCCATTTTCTTAAGAGCTTCCTTTACCTCCTTATCACGTATTTTTCGATAGAATGACAAATTTTGTTCTCCTTCACCAGTTACTAAATCCTCCAAGTTACTAGATGAATCCTCTCCATCATTGAAAAGTTTAGAAAAATAAGTCTCCCATCTATTTTTAATTTCATCATCTGTAACTAAAATTCTTCCCTCTTCATCCTTAATACACCTTACCTGTTCTAGATCTCTTGATTTTCTTTCCCTACTCTTGGCAATCTTATAAATATTTTGCTCTCCTTCCTTCGTCTCAAGGTTCTTATAAAATTCTTCAAAAGCTTTAGAACGAGCTTCACCCACAGCTCTCTTAGTTTCCTTCTTAGCCATACGGTACCTCTCCCAATTTTCCTCATTGTTACACAAATGTATGGCTTTAAAACAGTTCTTCTTATACTTGATTTTGTCCTGTACACTATTATTCCACCACCAAGACTCCTTATCTCTCGGACCAGAACCTTTCGATTCTCCCAAAACTACTTTTGCAACCTCCCGTATCTTTTTAGCCATATCCTCCCATATGATGTTAGCACTTCCCTGAGAATCCCAAATTCCTTTATCCAAAAGATTTCGCTTGAAAATATCTTGCTTCTCACCTTTTAATTGCCACCACCTAATCCTTGGTGTTACTACTTGTCGACGTTTTTGGATTTTACTCATAATACACACATCAAGGACTAGGACCCTATGTTGTGTCGTTACAGCATCTCCAGGGATCACCTTACAATTTTTACAAAGTTTTCTATCTGTGTTCCTAACCAAAAGAAAATCAATCTGCGACCTTGAGGCTCCACTTTTGTAGGTGATGAGATGCTCATCTCTCTTCTTGAAACAAGTGTTGGCAATCTTAAAATCATACGCCAATGAGAAATCAAGAAGAGTTTGCCCTTCATTGTTTAGCTCTCCAAAACCAAAACCACCATGCACCCTCGCATACTGACCAGCTTCCCTCCCGACATGCCCATTAAAGTCTCCTCCAATAAAAATCTTTTCACTCTGTGGTATGTGTCGAATCAACCCCTCCAGATCCTCCCAAAATAATTCCTTAAGACTGGCTTCTGTCCCGACTTGCGGCGCATAAGCGCTAACAATATTAACAGTCTCACGTCCAATTATCATTTTTAAAGAAATAATTCTGTCTCCAATTCTGCTAACTTCTACAACGTTCTTCTTCCACTCCTTATCTATAATGATGCCTACTCCATTGCGTGCACTTACTTTTCCTGTATACCAAAGTTTGAAACCTTGAATATCCTTAGCTTCTTCTCCACGCCATTTTGTTTCTTGCAAGCAAAGGATATTGATTTTCCTTTGAATCATAACCCCTACAACCTCTACAGATTTACAATTTAATGTCCCAACATTCCAAGTACCAAATCTAATTTTGCTCTTATGGACTAACTTCTTTAGCCGCGTGCGTCCAGAATGACGCGGTAGCCCTTGCTCATTTAACACTACATCCGGGCGCCGATGCAGCGGCTCTAACTCACTTATCACTGTACTCGAGCCATGCAGCGCGTTACTTACGGGCAACGACCTAGCATTAACATTATAACGTCTATTGTCCATGTTCATGATAGATTCAACAAATTTTTACATTGGCTGTTGATGGCCTAACACAACCCTCCTCCTTTACCCGGGCTTGGGACCGGCTATAAACATAGGCGGAGTTAGAATACGATATGTATACGACTGGAAAAAGGCATACAGGAATATGATCAACCTTTATCTCATTTCTCTTCTTAATCATCATATGGCTATGATGACTGTACTATTTGGTTCAAGAAAGTTTAAAAAAAAAAAAAAAAAACAGGCAACTTTATTGCCTAATTACTATTGCTATTGATTAGAAGTGTCAATTTCTCATTAGCTTTGCTATGTAAAAACAAGCTCAAGAAACTCATTTCTTAACTTTTCATTTGTTTTCCATAAGCTTTTCAGTGGATTCATAACTTCCAACTCCACCAGGAAATCTGTGTCACTTGTTTGAATGTTCATTGCATCACGAAAAAAAAATTCCCCTAGAACACAAAAGAATTACTTTAATTACTGTTATATTTTTTATGCATTTGGCTTTACTTAAAAAAAAAAAAAAATGAAAAGACGATATGTCGTTTTGTTATCTTTATCCTCCCTGTCACCCCCACGACGAACTTTCTGGATACCGTTTTAAAGATGCTTCGTCTCTCAGTCTCATTTTTATGAGGACGATCGGGGGCTGGGCGGGCCTCCGTACGAATAAGAACGAAGAAGTTTCCCTTTACCTGTGGTGAACAAGCTCTTTCAAAATCTTAGTACCTATGGCCGCTTCAGCCGCCATGGACGGCGTCGCTGCAGCGTCGTTCAGGTCTGTCCTACAACGAGTTCAACTGGCTGCTGAGCGGTCCGGCCGACCTGCCCAGCAGATCCGACTCGTCGCTGTAAGCAAGACTAAGCCAGTTTCTGTTATCCGCGAGGTCCACGATGCTGGCCATCGATGCTTTGGCGAGAACTACGTTCAGGAGCTCATTGAGAAAGCTCCCCAGGTTATCCTTCGTCTTGTTTTTCACTGAGTTTGTTTGATTTGATTCGTGATATCTCTTTTTCTTTTTTGTTCCCCTTTTTGTTGAGATTTTGATTAAAGTTTTATTTTTGGCTCTTTTTCGTTTCAATGTTTTGATGAAAAATGATTGAATATTCGTAATCTGCTTGAACTGCAGTGGGAGTTTGCCTACTGCTCATGGTAATCCCTGATAGAGAAGGCTCTGATTGAATATTTCTTGCACTTGCAGCTCCCAGATGATATCGAGTGGCATTTCATTGGGAATTTGCAGAGCAATAAAGTAAAGCCTCTTGTGGGTATGAGTAGTTTAAACTCTTTGAATTTGGGTTGAATAGAGCTGTCTTGGGACTATAATTTTTTTCAACCTATGAACTGAAGTCATGGCATCTTTTGTTCAATTCTATGCTGACATGCGATAAATACCAAACTGGACATGGTGACGAATCTTAGTGTTGCTCGTAGGAACGTGGATCAGTGGGATTCAGAGAATTTGGTGATACAGAGTAGTAGCACAATTATACTTAATCCTCTGCTTGTTGCTCATTGGAGTGACTATTCTTAATACAGATGAATTATTCTGCTCTCTCCTCCCTAAAAGATTCCGTTGAATGTTTGGGTTGCTCATGCATTAAGTTTAATTGAGGTCATGCTTGTGAACAAATTCACTTACTAGCTTGTGCGTATTATGGAAATATGTTCAGTTTTACTCTGCATTTATCTGGCTTTTAACATGGTTCCTATTTCCATGTACAGCTGGTGTTCCAAATCTTGCATATGTCGAGACTGTTGATGATGAGAAGGTATGCTGTTCATGCATGTTTTTGCTACCCCTAGGAAGACTGGCGCATTAAGGATTTTGAGCCCATATAAGAATTATAGTTCTCAAATATGATTTTGTCGGCAAAATTTTTGGGGATGGGAGATACATTTGTCTTGATTTTTAGACTAAAATGAAGGGATTTTCCTGGGTAAATATCTTATACTAATTGGTGTATATAATGTTTCAAAATGTATGCCATAATTAGCTGCAAACTTCCCTGGTTCACTTGTCTTGACCAATATTTATGATAAAGTATGAAGTTGCCACTCTATGAATGGGTTTAATTAACGGGCAAGTTTGTTATAAGTCTTTGTGAAGTTCAATTTTTATCCAATTGACTAAAATTTATGCTCTAACTTTTGTGACATGCTTAGGCATCCAAAGATTAATTTGTCCTAAATCTTTTGTGATGTCCTACATTCTTGAGACTGTAATTTCTTTTTTTTTTTTTACTCCTCTGCAGTGCTATGTTCAATTCAGCAAAGCTTAATTTGAAATCTCATAAGAAACTGTAGTTTACCTTACTTCTGTGAAACAATTCATGTAGCTGTAGCGTATGCATAAATATAGTACCTTTCCATTTTTCTATTACAGACAGTTTATTTATTGCTTGCTTAGTTTTCACTGTGCAATTATTTGCTGGCAGATAGCAAATCATCTTGACCGTGCAGTAGCAAACATTGGTAGAAAGCCTTTGAAAATTTTTGTTCAAGTTAATACAAGTGGAGAAACGTGTAAGCTATATTGATTTTCTTAACTTTTCATTTTATGTAATACAACAACAACAACAACAACAAGCCTTTATCCCACTAGGTGGGGTCGGCTACATGGATTGCAAGACGCCATTGTGCTCTATCATTTATTAAGCTTTTAGAAATATTATTAATTAAGAGATCACGTTCAACAACTTCCAAGAGTGTTCTCTTAGGCCTTCCTCTACCTCTCTTAATCGGACTCAAAGTTATATGTTCCACTCTTCTCACTGGTGCCTCCCTTGGTCTTCTTTGTACATGCCCAAACCATCTCAACCGATTTTCTACCATTTTTTCCTCAATAGGTGCCACCCTCACTTTTTCACGTATGTGCTCATTTCGAATTTTATCTTTACGTGTATGTCCGCACATCCATCGTAACATTCTCATCTCTGCTACTCCAACTTTATGCTCTTGCTGTCCCGTTAGAGCCCAGCATTCACTACTATATAACATTGCCGGTCTGATAGCAGTACGATAAAACTTTCCTTTAAGTTTATTAGGCACCTTACGGTCACAAATAACTCCTTTAGCTTTTCTCCAATTAAACCACCCAGCTTGAATTCTATGTGAAATATCTCCACTGATTTCGCCATCATTTTGGATAATGGCTCCCAAATATCTAAACTTTTCCACTTGAGGTATAATTTGATCTCCCAATTTCACTTCCAAATTATTTTCGAATAGTCCTTTATCAAATTTACAATATAAATATTCCGTCTTACTTCTACTCAGACGAAAACCTTTCGACTCCAATGTCCTCCTCCATAACTCAAGTTTGCAATTAACCTCTTCTCTTGTCTCTGCTATAAGAACTATATCATCCGCGAAGAGCATACATTTCGGGATTTCCTCTTGAATATGTTCCGTCAAAACATTTAAAATCAAGTTGAACAAATAAGGACTCAGAGATGATCCCTGATGTAGCCCAATCTTTATAGGAAAATCCTTTGTTTGACCACTAGGCGTTCTTATACTAGTTTTTACCCCCTCATACATATCTTGTATGGCTTTAATATAAGCAATCCGTACTCCCTTTTTTTCCAACGCTTTCCAAAGCACTTCTCTTGGTATACGGTCATAAGCTTTTTCCAAATCAATAAAAACCATGTGTAGATCTTTATTTTTACAACGATACTTTTCCATTAATCCCCTTAGTAGATAAATCGCCTCTGTAGTTGATCTACCTGGCATAAAACCAAATTGATTCTCAGAAATACTTGTCTCCAATCTCAACCTGTGCTCAATTACTTTCTCCCACAATTTCATTGTGTGGCTCATGAGTTTAATCCCTCTATAGTTAGTACAATTCTGAATATCTCCTTTATTTTTATAAATAGGAATTAATGTACTTCTCCTCCACTCATCAGGCATTTTCTTGGACCGTAAAATCACATTAAATAACTTAGTTAACCATCTCACCCCTTCTTCACCTAAACATTTCCACGCTTCGATAGATATACAATCAGGTCCGTTAGCTCTACCATTTGCCATTTTCTTAAGAGCTTCCTTTACCTCCTTATCACGTATTTTTCGATAGAATGACAAATTTTGTTCTCCTTCACCAGTTACTAAATCCTCCAAGTTACTAGATGAATCCTCTCCATCATTGAAAAGTTTAGAAAAATAAGTTCCCATCTATTTTTAATTTCATCATCTGTAACTAAAATTCTTCCCTCTTCATCCTTAATACACCTTACCTGTTCTAGATCTCTTGATTTTCTTTCCCTACTCTTGGCAATCTTATAAATATTTTGCTCTCCTTCCTTCGTCTCAAGGTTCTTATAAAATTCTTCAAAAGCTTTAGAACGAGCTTCACCCACAGCTCTCTTAGTTTCCTTCTTAGCCATACGGTACCTCTCCCAATTTTCCTCATTGTTACACAAATGTATGGCTTTAAAACAATTCTTCTTATACTTGATTTTGTCCTGTACACTATTATTCCACCACCAAGACTCCTTATCTCTCGGACCAGGACCTTTCGATTCTCCCAAAACTACTTTTGCAACCTCCCGTATCTTTTTAGCCATATCCTCCCATATGATGTTAGCACTTCCCTGAGAATCCCAAATTCCTTTATCCAAAAGATTTCGCTTGAAAATATCTTGCTTCTCACCTTTTAATTGCCACCACCTAATCCTTGGTGTTACTACTTGTCGACGTTTTTGGATTTTACTCATAATACACACATCAAGGACTAGGACCCTATGTTGTGTCGTTACAGCATCTCCAGGGATCACCTTACAATTTTTACAAAGTTTTCTATCTGTGTTCCTAACCAAAAGAAAATCAATCTGCGACCTTGAGGCTCCACTTTTGTAGGTGATGAGATGCTCATCTCTCTTCTTGAAACAAGTGTTGGCAATCTTAAAATCATACGCCAATGAGAAATCAAGAAGAGTTTGCCCTTCATTGTTTAGCTCTCCAAAACCAAAACCACCATGCACCCTCGCATACTGACCAGCTTCCCTCCCGACATGCCCATTAAAGTCTCCTCCAATAAAAATCTTTTCACTCTGTGGTATGTGTCGAATCAACCCCTCCAGATCCTCCCAAAATAATTCCTTAAGACTGGCTTCTATCCCGACTTGCGGCGCATAAGCGCTAACAATATTAACAGTCTCACGTCCAATTATCATTTTTAAAGAAATAATTCTGTCTCCAATTCTGCTAACTTCTACAACGTTCTTCTTCCACTCCTTATCTATAATGATGCCTACTCCATTGCGTGCACTTACTTTTCCTGTATACCAAAGTTTGAAACCTTGAATATCCTTAGCTTCTTCTCCACGCCATTTTGTTTCTTGCAAGCAAAGGATATTGATTTTCCTTTGAATCATAACCCCTACAACCTCTACAGATTTACAATTTAATGTCCCAACATTCCAAGTACCAAATCTAATTTTGCTCTTATGGACTAACTTCTTTAGCCGCGTGCGTCCAGAATGACGCGGTAGCCCTTGCTCATTTAACACTACATCCGGGCGCCGATGCAGCGGCTCTAACTCACTTATCACTGTACTCGAGCCATGCAGCGCGTTACTTACGGGCAACGACCTAGCATTAACATTATAACGTCTATTGTCCATGTTCATGATAGATTCAACAAATTTTTACATTGGCTGTTGATGGCCTAACACAACCCTCCTCCTTTACCCGGGCTTGGGACCGGCTATAAACATAGGCGGAGTTTTTCATTTTATGTAATGTAGTAATAAAATGACTTGCTTATGTTAGATGTCCATTAACCCTACGTTACTCTTTTTCTGTTTGATAAATCCCAAAATAACATCTAGTGCAGCTTTCATTCATATTATTGGATTTATGTCCACCAACCACTCCTGCAAATGGACTGAACTTATACTTAACGTTTATCAAACTAAAAGCCATATGGATGATGTGCTGCTAGATGGAGTGGCATACTGGTTTAGAGTTTGTACTGTGAATCTTTATGTACATTTCTGTTTCTTAGTATTATAGTTTTTGCCACCAATGTTAGCCTTGAATACAAGTTTTTAGGTTCCAAAATGACTACCAATTTGCTATATTCAAGCAGCAAAATCTGGTGTTGAACCTGCTGGATGCGTTGACCTTGTAAAGCATGTCAGGAGCTGTCCTAATCTCGAGTTTTGTGGTTTGATGACAATTGGTATGCCAGATTATACAGCTACACCGGAAAATTTTAAGGTGGTGGCTGGTGCCCTACATTTTCAACCTGTATTTTGCCTCCTTTGTTGGTGAATATCCTTGAAAGCTATTGTTTTTCTGTTCTCCAGACGTTATCTGATTGTAGAAGCGAAGTTTGTAAAGAACTTGGTATATCAGAAGAGCAATGTGAGCTATCCATGGGCATGTCTTCGGACTTTGAGCTAGCTGTAAGAAATCTACTTCTTGTAATTTACATGCCTTAAGCCGAAAGCACAAGTAGTCAAGTAGTGTCTAAAGATTTTTTAGCCTGCCAACTTTATAATTTTGCAGATTGAGATGGGTAGTACAAATGTGAGGGTTGGGTCTACCATATTTGGCGCCAGAGAGTATCCAAAGAAACAAAACCAGTAGCTCACCTGACCTGATGATCTCGCAGCCCGGTTCGCGTTCCCAACTCCTTGTGCTGCGGATTTGTTGGCGATTATCAATTAGGAGTCAATGTCATAAATTCACGGAAATAAATATATTCGGAGAGCTACTTATTCAGAATACAATCGCAGACTGAATGGGATATGGTATTTTTGGTACCTCAATATTGTTGTCCCCGCAAAGGGATATAAAGAAAAAAAATGTAACTCTTGATTTCTTGGCCTCGTTATTGATTTATTTAATTATTTTCATAATTAATCTTACTTGAGACGTAATCAAAATTATTTAATTTTAATTTGCGATATTATTGAATTATACAATAAAATGGTCAACGTACAACGATTTTAGATTTAATATTAATATTAATTAACGCGCAATAATTTCTTGGAAGACTGCAAGAGTTGAACAATTTTTTTTTTAAATTTAACAATTGAAAGATGAAACTATTAGTATTGATTTCTGCATTCGAATGAGAATTTATGGTTTTTTATTTGTTTTGTGTCAACTATGACGTCGTCAAGTCCCAAACTTTCTTAGCATCGTTTGGGGCTGGAGGAGAAACTATAAATAGCACACACTACACGGAAATAGACGTGGTAAACAGTGGGGCAGTTTGATTTCAGAGAGAAATGCGTAATTCTTGAAGACGTAAACGATTCAGACAGAAGATCCTTTTTGTCAGTGGAGTGCAAAATACAAAGATGAACAGGAAGCAACAAAAGACGCTGAAGTTGTTAATGTGGTCGCTGGGACTCACTCTGGCGGTTTACATAGCGGGACGACCCTTGTATTGGCAACTCACCGAAGGTTTCGCCACCGTTCGCCATGACGCCTCGCCGCCTTCTTGTCCTCCTTGTCCCTGCGATTGCTCTCTTGAACCCCTTCTTTCTCTTCCCGACGGTGCTCCTCTTTTCTTTCCTTCAAATTGTGAATACGCTCATTGACATTTTTTCTTGCCCGCTCTTTTCTTTCCTTCAAATTGTGAATGCACTCATTGACATTTTTTCTTGCCCGCTCTTTTCTCCTCTGATTGAGAAGTTGGAAGTTCGTTTCTGCTTCTTGGCCTAATGGGGAATTCTGGAAACTCAATTCTTATTCAAATGTTGATACTTCGCATTGTAGTGTTGATCAGGTCAAAATACCTGGTGAACGAATTCAGACAGTATCTGCTCAAATAAGCTCATTGGTAGGGGCATCATAACTAAAAATCAATCCTGAACTGAGTTTGAATCTAACGTAACAAGGGCGACATATATAATTAGACGTTATAGAATATAACAGTCTCCAGTCAAACCAGACGACATTGTCTCCACATTCTATATTGTGCTGAAATTTAAGTGCTTTCTGACATGTGGAATTGAGTTGTGTTGGAAGAAATGCATACTTTATTTCCAACATTTCTATTTGTTGGCCAAGCGTGATTAGTTAACTGCCATAGAAAAGAACAAATCACTCAGACAACATTACTCCTGACTCTGACCGCGTAGTACAGTGGAAAATCTGAACAAGATAATCTTTTAGCAAACGTTGTTTATATATCTTACTGAGATATTAATTGCTGATTTCTATTCACTCAGTTGTTATTTCGACCTTGATCTTGCTTATTGATTGTGCAAGCTTAACTCAGTTTCTCTGCCTGCTTTTCAACTGCAGGATTAAGCAACAACTCCATTATAGGTAAGTCTTTCCACCTTTGCTACACTTGAAGTTACAGAAAGCCGTCAGTATGAACTCAGATGGCAATCATGAGGCAACGATTAGATAGTCTTGGGTTGAGCATCTAAAGTGTCTAGGCCGAGGCATTCTTAGCTAAATTCAATTCTTTGTGTGAGTTAATATGATATGATATGATCTCTTAAACAACCAAAACGGTCATCAGTCCTGATATTTGTTACATTTAATTGTGTCATAAAAAACTGTCAACGATAATCTTAGCTCATCACTGAATCTTTCAGTATCATCTGGTGGAGGGACAACTAATAGACTGTCTGCAGGATGATATATGAAAAGGCATGCCATAGGGTACGTTAGGGATTGAGGGATGAGAACAATAGAGAAGCAAAGAAATGGAAATGTTTGGATGTTTGGTTTAGATCAAACCTTGTCTTACCTTTTCTTCTCTTTCATATTTCTGAACCCAAATATGCCTGGAAAGTTCAAATTCTGGTGAACTTTCATGTATAGACAATTTTTAAAATTATATTTAGTGTTAATGCAGATTGCATGAGACAAGATCCAGAGGTGAGCGAGGAGATGCAGAAGGGTTTTTTGGATCTGTTGTCAGAAGAAGTGAAGTTAAAAGAAGCTGAAGCTCTGGAAAAACATCAGCGTGCTGACATGGCTCTTTTAGATGCTAAGAAAGTAGCATCGCAGTATCAAAAGGAGGCTGACAAGTGCAATTCAGGGATGGAGACATGTGAGGAGGCAAGGGAAAAAGCAGAAGAAGCACTTGAAGATCAAAGGAAAATAACTGCTTTGTGGGAGCTCAGGGCTCGCCAAAGAGGATGGAGTCCACAGTGACCACTTGTGCCCAAATTAGAATAGGGCAGTGCCCTTTAATCTGAGTAAAAGTATTCATCTGACATCTTTATCGTTAGTTATTTTTTATTATCATCATCATTATCGTTTACATTCACTCTTTTTTTTTTTTGTGTGGTTACTTGGTATGAGTTATTAAGAAGTAATTTCACACGAAAATTCTGGTTTCAGACCGGTTTGACTCTTGTTCCTGTTTGGCTTTGTTCTTAATCAACTCTCAGGTTAGTGTTTAATCTCCTTGTATCATCTCTTCGTTGGGTTTAGAGTTCATGAAGAAGCACTTTTCGAGTGTCAGTACAGAAATGTCATCATCTTCCTGATTAAGTGATTATTCCTGAATCTCAACTTGCACTTCCATGGCCATACTCTAATATATAGGAGTTGAAAATAATAAAAATAAACGTGCTTGCGGACGAAGGAATGTTTGCCTACTGCCCTATTCCATGGTTTAGGAAAACTTTTGCCAAGTCACATGCTGAAGTTTGAGACAATTTTGCAAAGACTTCTTTATTTGGAGAAAGAAGGGAATATGAGCTACTTCAATTCTTTTCCCTCCTTCCTAAACAAAAATAAAATAGGACCTTTTCCTTTAATTCCCTCCCTTCTTGTTTATTTTCCCACCAAACATGTGGGAGTAAAAATATCTTTTTGCCTCCCTTCTGGGGTGAATGTAAGTACCAAAAGAATTTTTTGACTGTCAAACTTAGAAAGCAGTGAAGAGCAATATATTAACATTTCCGGGGATGCTTGGCACCATAATCATTTTGAAGCTCAAGTTTTGTCCCAAGAAGTTCAGCTAACTACTTTTCATCACAATCCCAATCTTCTCTAATGCTATTAACTTCTGAGCGAGCAAATAAAAGACTGATAAAACCATACAAAAAGAAACTACTAATTACAAAGTTATGAGCGAAGTGGCTAGAAGCTTCCCCCAGAATAATGCAAGGTACAAGATCATTGGAGCTTTTTAAGAGTCTTGTTTTTTTTAAGGCCCAAATATTTTGAAATTACTCTACAGGACTTTTTTTGGAAGGGGCGGTGTTTACTTTGAAAACAACCCAAGAACATTATGCACCTGGAAGGTTGGAGCTTGATTGCTTGAAGGCTTTAAGCATTTATTCTCTCTTATTATTATTATGCAAATTGCAAGCATATATTTTGAACACGCAACTATATAAACTGCCTTTATTTTTTGTTTCGTAAAACTACGTTGATTTCTTATTTTCAGCGACTGAAACGAAATCAAACAGTCCCAAATTTTTCAGAAATTTTTAAAACCTTTTTTATCTCAAAAATTACTAATTCATATAACAGATCGCTGTTCTACAATTGAGGTAGTTGTATGAAACCTCTCTACAAGGCAAGATAAAATGATCTTTATCTGCTTTTTACCACTAACCGTTCCTACTTACTGCTGAACTGAACTATTTCAGCAGCAAATGATCTTTATCAGCCTATTACTATCAACCGTATTTACTTATTTCTGAATTTAACTATTTCAGCAGCAGCTATATCTCATCCCTTTGTACCTGCAAAATCTGGGGCAGTGTAAGCTGTCTTTAAACTAGAAATAGCCCCATCTGGCGTCCGAAGTATATTGTGTGAGTTAGTATATGGCTAGAGTGCTTCATGATCATACGGATCAAGTCATGGCCGACTGTCTAACAATGAAGAAACTTCAGAGTGGCCAACCGAGTCATCACTCAACAGGCGCATAGCAGCTCCCTGAGAGAATTTCCTAGCAAATAAAAAACAAGGAACGGATGTTGAATTGTTACGGCACCATTCTGTCCGGTACTCAGTCTCAAAATATATATGATTGATGCCCTGTTTAAAAAAAAAATATTATAAGCATGTAATAGCACTAGCAAAACAAAAAATAAATCCAATTATAATGATTGAAGTATTCTACAAATCAACGAGTGCTACTGCTAGATATATTGATCGAAAGAAAAAGAATCTCAGATTGATGAAGAGAAACAGACATAGTTACTTAAAAGCATCTATGAAAACATCATGAGTGATTATTATACATGGACCCTTATGTATCTCTCGAACAAAAACATTTTTTACTCCCAACCCAGCAAACTTAATATCTACAAAGGACCCTTCAATTATCATGAGAAGAAGAGGACATCATAGAAACACATAGGGTCATTCTAGATCACCACAGGCACGCATTTCCAGCACAGATTTTAAGAAGCTCCTTCCAATCATTCCAATCACATTATGTGCCACAGCAGTAGAAACGTCATTTTTTCATTAATATAAATTGGAAATCACTCTGTGTTTGCTTTCCTTAGTGGGAAGAGGATTTGAGGCTTTGAGAAATGTTTGCCTACAAATACGGCAAGTGAGACAACAAAAGATAACCTTTATTTCCTTTATTCTTTCAGGGCTAGCATCTGCATAGCCGAAGGTCATAGGATGCCACCCTTTATTCTCCAATTTTGTTGCAGACTCGTTCCACACTGTATAGGTTAACGTTCTTCTTTCAAGCTCACCTTCAAGGCCATGCATCTGAAACATAAAGCACTAGAGTAAGAACAGAAATCATGACTTTTAACAAAAACAATGATCAAGGTCATTGGTGAATGGAGAGGAACGGAAAAATGGTGTAAATTGATTAGAACAATGCATTCTACGAACATCTAATATAGAAACTGGAGAAGGAAGAAAATTATCTCAGCATCTTACTGCAAGCAATGTCTGGACATAGTGTTCATCTGGGATACAGTTGTGTTGCTTCTGAAGTTTCTGTGCTTACACCAAAATTACTCAAAATTGTTACACATTAAAAAAAAAAAAAAACAACAGTTAAAATAAAATGATTGCACCATAGCATTTTCTCTGACTATTCCACAATCTAATCAAGTCCTCATCCATCCAATATATACCAGGTTACTAGGATCTATAACGTTATTTCTCTTGAATTTTTCACGAGATCAGCTAAATGCATTTCACAGCAGCAAATGAATAACTCTTCGATGAGAAATGGAAAGACAGGGAAATTACAGTTTAAGAATTCTTAAAAAAAAAAAAATTCCAATCATAGAAAAATTCAGCAAACAAGAAGTTAATTAAGTTGCAATATGTTAAACCACTTGTCTAGTTACTTGTCCACAAATTTGAAGTACTTTCCATTGAATCCCCAATACGTAAGTCTCTCTAAATTGTACATAAATTCTGCTAAAGAATTTCACATATCGCAAAATTACAGGCTCTCACTACAATATGAAACATATTGACAAGGCTAAATGCAAAGATTAAATACCCTTCTTGAAAATTTACATAAAACCTGTATACTAAACATTCACAAGGTTTATGGCCAAGAGAGAGAGAGAGAGAGAAAATTCACAAGGTTTATCAATCAAATATAAGATAAAGGAGTCCTACATTTCCAGAAGCCAAATATTTTTTCTCAATCCTTGATGTTACATCAATCTTAAGCCGATGACTCTCTTCAAAGTTCCATCATACATTAACAAATTGGCCAGTTTCAATTATTTGCAGTTGCACCAAAAACTTACAGGTGCATAGCCCCGAATTAATTAATTTCAAATAAAGGCACGTGTGCTTTACAATGACTCCTAGACACCACAAAAAAACGCATCGATATTAACACAAAGAAAACCAATTATCACCACTTACAAGATTCAGCTTTCCCTTTCTGGCATCTACTGGTGGGCGTCGCTGCAAAGTAAGAAGAAAATTATGTTTATATTGATCATCATACAAGGCTGACCCGCAGCTTAGACAGTAATGAACAGTAACATATACTAGATAATTAGATTTTGAATTGTCTGATTTTCAGGGTAACATGATTTTCATAAAATATCAAATTAAACCAATTTTAGTAGAAGTTTAGACAAGAAGTTATCCAACTATAGATTAAATAAATACCTTGCAATATTTTTTAAAAACTGGAAAGACAACTTCATCATCCGCAATGACTTCCGCATGGCTACGAATCAAGGTGATCCACTGTAATTCCAAAATAATTTCCAATTAATACATAATTCTAGAAATGCATAGCTAAAAATGTCATTCTCTGTGCCAAATGAAAATTTAAAGTTCATTTGACATGTAGAAACTAATTCATGGCTAAAAACTATCCTTGGTTTTCAAATTGGAAATATTGGTTCCTTCATGCTATGAGTACAATCAGTGAAGATCAAAGAGAACACTCAATAAAATTATTGAAAGAGATCTTTTTGCTAACAATATATTAACAGATTTGGTCGTTGATAGAGCATAATGGCATCACTCAAACCATGTAGCTGATGCCACATAGTGGGACAAGATTGTTTGTTGTCATTGTATCATGCTGTGAGTAGAGCCTTCAGATTTTATAAGGCTAGTTATGAAACTCAAATCATTCCATAGAGTGACAGTGGCTTGATTTTCCTAGCAAGCATGAAGTAACATTTTTTCTCCATTCAACTTGGAAAAATATAACATGCTTGCCTCGGTATTTCACACCATTTAGAATTCAATGATATGAATAATTAAAAAATCTGTGTTTTGTTATTGTTTAAAGTTATTTCCCTGGTTCCTCATCTATCACTACATCACTCCTTCAACTAGTATCATGGAAAGTTAGTTGTTCCCAGGATCCTGTAAAGTATACCCAACCAATAGGCTCTAACAGACCGCCAAGCAAAATATCCAACAAAATACAGCTCGGGCAGCAAGGAAACCCACACAACCAACAATACAATTTTCTGTTAAAGGTCATGGATTCTCATAAAGAACAAAGAGAGAGATGCTGCAAAAAAATATTTTAGCCAAGACAAATAACCTGTGACCCTTTACGCCATCTTTCTCTTGGTAATTTAGGTGACATTTTTGGGTTGTAGCGGCCCTCCTTGACATCAAGAAAGCTGCAATATAAACAAACTACTAAGTTGCAGCTTCAAAACTTCTGCATTAAGCAAAAGGGTAAGAAATTGCATTATGGAGTCATTTTGATTGACCCGGTCTAAAATGAATTAGTGCTAAGCACCTCCAGAATCAAAGTCTTCTTCTACCTGTCCACGAAGCTCCTTGGTGAACCCATGACATAATTGTAAACAAAGGTAAAGTTGTATAGAGGGACACAACTGCACATAGGAAACAGAAAACGAAGAGAGATTAAATTCGCATAAGCCTCAAACCTCCTCTCCCTTAAAAAAAGAGTTGAAACACTAAGCTAAATAGAAGAAATCATGGAAAGCTTAAATCCTAGTGGAAATTTATGTCATAAATTGATAGGATGGGGCACGTAATATATGAAAACTACTCCTGAATAAACACGGAGGTGACTATTGAATGTGTTATTTCAAGTAGCGCAAATCTCGAAATTTGATCAAGCGAATATAAACAAAACAATTACAGTAGCATTTGGCGACAGGGAAGAAAAGCTCCTGCATGCATCGAATCGACATCAACACCAACCTGTCAGAGAGAAGAACAAATCTTTGATTTGCAGGGTCTTCCAAAGCTGCATCTAGTAACAACCTTTCAGCCTGAATCATACTCGATTCGCCCCATAAAACCTAAAATAGGCAACGCCAAATTAGTCAATTCTCAATTCAAATTTAAAAAAAAATATTAACACGAAACATCCGGCCATAAATTGGATTCGTCTTTCCTTTTTCTTCTTTTCCCCTAATGAGCTTTTCAACCTTCACCATCATTTCAAGGAGAAGAAACTTTCAGTTGAGCTGTTTCTTCAAATACTTTCTCAACAAAGTCATCACTTTACCTGAATGCTATTACTCAATTGTCGATCGTGAAAGAAGTGCGACCTCGTGGTAGATTCATCGAACACAAACCCAGGCGCCGAATGAATATAAATGGAGAAATTAGCGACATCACCGTTCTGCAAGCACAAGAAACCCAAATCAAAACACCATCAAACCCGAACACCACGACAAATAAAACGCGATAGCAGCGAACCTCGAAGAAGGTTTCCCAGAGAAAATCGAGAGGGAGTTCGCGGCGGACGAGGAACATGAAGGCAATCTTGGGAGGGCCATCGAAGGTCTCAAGTGAAATTCGGGATCTCCTCCGAGAATATGGAGCGGACGAAGTGAGTTCTGATTGGGAGTGAAGCTTGAAGAAAGCGAAGGCGCAGAGAAAGAGAGAGACGCAGAAGAGAATGAGAAGCTTGAAGCTAAACCGGCTGGCTTGGCGTCTCGCTAATGGAGGCACCTTCTTCGTCATGTCTATGCCTGCTATGCCCAAAACCGGGAAGTTGAATTGGATGCGAAAAGAGTTCAACAAGCATTTCAAAACGGAATTGCTGATCGCCATTACCGTGGTGGAGGTGGTGTTCAAGCTGGGCTGTGCGGTGCCGGTGTGCGCTGGCAGTGAACTCCAAAAGCTGAAGGTTCTCACGATTCTTCAGTAACCGTGTCAATACGTCGTCGTCGGAGGCTCGTGAATCTACCGAACTCGATGCGGTGGAATCATGCTATACAGGGACGCAAAATACCCGCGTCGCCTATGCGGACACTTTTCGGTGACCAAAATACAAGACTCGGAAACTGAAGTCAGAGCCAAACAACGTATCACTTTCTTTGTGTCGGCCAAAAAAAAAGAGGTGATAACTCTATTTGAAAAAAAAAAAAAAATCAACACAATTGTTAATAATCATTTAAAAAGAATTGATCCATGACCATTTATAAGTCATGTACGAGCATTGTTGATGAAATTTGTTAATCGTTATGGGCGAAGAAATGGGACAAAGTTTTTTGGAACACTAGATCGCAATTATTAGTATTGATTATTCATACCTGAATGTTGGTGGGCTTGAAAATAATTATCGTGATGCAATTTAGAAAATTTAAACTTTTTCATCATATTTTAAGAGATTTGGGAAAATTTCGATTTACACAGCAATGTATGATGGCCCTCATCTGAAAAATAATTTCTTCGATAATATTATGTAATACCACCAGTACAGACGATAACTGGAATTGAAAATTCAGATTCAACGTGTTATGTCATGAGATGAGAGAAGAAGAAAACAGAAAAGAAAAATGATGAAAATCCCAAAACCTTCAACAAATTAAAAAGCGTTGAAATCTTTCTCGGGATTTCATCGTCTCCGCCTAATTTTGCTTAAATTTGTCAACCAAAGCAGAGGCAAATGCCGCCATCAACCAAACTCCAAATCTGGAGCTTTCACAAATCTTCACTAATCTTTGTCAACACGTCGTCGTCGCAAGTCCCACCAGTACCCAGCTCGAGGGCTATAGGAATATGTTGAGATGGATGGAGTAACAGATTTATTTAGATCTTCTTGCTATTTTTTAATGCATCTCTTCATACTCAATTTTATTTATTAATTTAATTATTATTTTGATTTAATGATATGATATTACTAATTATAATATTAAAATGATTATAATATCATTTAATTATTATTATTATTAAGCATTGTAATCTCATTTTTAATAACATATATACGATGAAAATGAATAATATATTTATTTTAATGTCATAATTATCAATCTTATATCATCAACTAAAATAATAATTAAATGAATAAATAAAATTAAATATAAACAAATGTATTGAGGGAATGTGAAAGGGAGCTAAATGTAAGACAAAGAAAGTATCACTACTATCGGGGCCACGCGACGTCAATTACGAAAATGGTGGTGGAAATATTCTTGGCGTGATACGTGTCGTGACGCGCTCGTGCTAATGAATAAATTTCTTTCTTCCTTGTCTTTAAATTTCTTCTATATTTTTTGCAAAATTCTTTCTTTTTTTAACCAACGCAAAATATTTTAAAAATAATAAAAAAAATTGTTACAAACAATTTTGCGGGCATAAGAAGTGGGTTCCGCCAAAGTATTGAGAGTAATGAATAATCTCTTTTAAGTAAATTACTATATATATATATATAAATTAAAATTCAAACATCCAATCATTTACATTAAATGACAAGAGTATGTCATTCTCCTTGCCAAATTAATACCTTTTTTAAAAATATAAAATATTTTTAATCAAATTTTACCTTCAAATAAAATAATTACTTACTTTTCAACTAACTTTATCTTTTTATATTTACCTTTATTAAACACCCTATAATAAATATAAAGTCATTATCAATTAGGTGCATTTTAAAAAAATAATGATTACACTTCAAAATACTAAAAGTGTCTTATATTTTTTAACATTCAACTTTTTAAAAAATATCTTATATTTTTTAACGAAGTGAGTATTTATTATCAACTAAAAAGAGTTTGTTTATTTGTACAGAGCTTCCAATCCAAGATAGATAAATTTGGAAGATATATTAATATTTATCATTGATATCATTATCAAATGTCAAATTCACACCTCATGAATAGTATAATTTGAACTTAAAATCAAAATTCATGTACAAAAAACCCATATAGTAAAAGTGAAAATTAAATTGTTAGTCTCCCACTTGGCAGCATGAAATATGAAGCAAGCCAATTCATTAATGGTTTTTTTTATTAATAGTATAACTTTTTATTGATTTTATTATTATTATTATTATTATTATTATTATATTGATGATATGGTCTTTAGAGTAAATTAATTCACTTTTTTAAATAGTGAGGTAAATAAAGCTTTTAAAAAACATGGTAAACGATAGAGCCTATGAATCTCATTGTATTCTAATTGAATGTGAAAATATTTAGATGAAAATTGAAAAGAGAATGCAATGGTTAACTAAATTATTTAATAAAATCTTATTGTTTAAAAAAAATGCTTGATGAATGGAGTAAAAGCCTTTTAATTCCTATTAACAAAAATAAAGAAGATATTTAAAATTGTGCAAACCACAAAAGGATTAAATTTATAAGTCATACAATAAATTTATAGGAAAGAGTGATTGAGCATAGGTTAAAATTGAAAACTGATATTTTTGAGAATCAATTTAGCTTCATGCTAGGTAAGGTGACTACAAAAATAATTTATCTACTAAGGAGACTAACATAAAAGTATTGATGGAAGCATAAAGATTTGCACATGATTTTCATTGATTTGAAAAAAAAAATTATGATAGTGTACTAAAAGAAGTATTTTGAAAAGCTTTGGAAAAAAAAATGGAGTCTACGTTACCTAATTAGAGCTATACAAGAAATGCATGAAGGGGCAATAATTAGTGTAAAAACATCTAGCAGTAAAACAAAAGACTTTTAAATAAAAATTAAACTACATCAGAGATCATCTTTAACTCCTTAGTTGTTTAACATGGTGGAGAAATTGATTAGAATGTTGTACATAGAATACAAATTGGGTAGTTTAATTGGACAAAAGCTCAAAGAGTTATTTGCGATCGAAAGGTACATAACGAAGTTGAAAGAAAGTTTTATTAAATTACTATAAGACCAACTAAGTTATATGTTAGTGAATGTTGGGCTCAAACTGGATAACAATAGCATAAAATTAAAATAATAGAGGTGAGAATGTTGAAATGGAGTGTGGACATACACATAAATATAAAATTCAAAATAAGCACACAAAGGAAAAGTGGTCGTAACATCTATTGAGAAAAAAATGATATAAAATATTAAAATCATTTAAGATGATTTAGACACGTGCAAAGAATATCACAGGAGGCACCCATAAGAAAAGTATAATGGATAATTTTAAGTCCTATTAAGACAAGTAGAGAAAGGCCAAAGAGATAGACTAAAAGTAATATTCCTAAGAGCATGATACATAATAAAATACAATGATATCATACAATTCATATAACTAATCCCATCTAGTAGAATAAGATTTGTTGTTATTGTAAATATATTTTTTAAGTTTTAAAATATAAAAAAAATATCATTTGAGGAAAAAAAAAAGAGAGAGCCAAAATCTATAATTTTATTTGTACGTATCTTGAAACAGGCCTCATTTTTTCATTTTAATATGCATTAGTGCTATGTTAGAGGAGTTTATGAGGAGCATTACTTAGCATATCTGAGGATATCAAAGGCACCTGAGTGCCGTGCAGACATGATCACAATCCAGAGGTTTCATTTCATTAAACTTGTACCTTTGACACCCTTCTTATGCACTCTTCAATCCGAAGTTTGAGGTCACTTCTCTAGTATAATTGAATATTTGAATAACCTATTCACATGGCCATGTGTGAAAGAGCCTGTTTGTCGGAAGTACTTTCGGCGTGACAGATCTATAGAATCAATGACAACTGACATTAGAGCACCTTACCTAATGGCTACCCTTTACCCTAAGCAGAGAAACAAAAAGATTAAGAATTCATTGGAATACTCAGGTGCATTCAAAGGGGGGAAATTAACATGGAGAAGAAAATCACTATCGTTACACAACAGATCATCAGCGCCTGAATGCCCTCTGCATCTGACATGATATCTACAGAAAGTAGCTTAATCCACATGTAGAACCCACCATATGAACCTTGAAGCACGTTTTGTCACTCTTCTATTTTAAGTCCTAAGCCTCTTGTTTGGCTGGCCCTCGCTTTCTTAACCATGAAAGCTTTCTTCTTTTAGCCGAATTCAGCCTTCTTTGAATATCAGAGCTGCCAGCTTGGCCACCATGACGACGACCAAAGTTGGCTGTTGCTGCTTGCTCCCAGTAAAACTTGTGCACCAGACAGGGCAAACTAACCACTATACACCCACCTTGGTCTTTTTACGGTCCAAAACAACATTCAAGATCTTGCCAGGAACGTAGATTCTTTTTTTCACAGGGTTACCATGCAAAAACTTGGATAGTTTTTCATCCCTACAAGCCAGTTCAAAAGCATCCTCCTCTGTGCATGTTTTTTCGACCTGTATGGTACCCCTCGTCTTACCGTTGATCTGAACTGGGAGGACTACCGTGGAATCTTTCAAGTAAGCAGGATTTGCCTGCAATAACGTGAGACACATGACCACATATTGCTATCGAATATGATATCCAAAATCTAAAATAAAACATAGTCAAGAACTAACATAACAAGCAATGCAAGACCGTTTTGATGTGGACACCAATTCATACCTTAGGGAAAGGCTCATGCGCTAATGAATTTGTGTGTCCTAGCCGTGACCAAAGCTCCTCAGCTATATGAGGTGCGTATGGTGAAAGCAGCAAAACAAATGCCTCAACAACTGATCTTGGATGTTTATCCCACTGAAAATATAGGCAAGCCAAACTTTATATATACATCTTAACGAGTTAAAAAAATGTATTAAAAAACACAGAATCAAAAGGAGATGGTAATAGAAGGAAGTAAAAGGAACCCTTTGACAACCAAGAAAAATAAAGCAGCATGAACAAGATAATTTATCACTTAAAAAATTTCTCTGAGGCTTGAACCATCATGAAGAATATCGATTGGCAGAAGCTAAGCATGTTTCCTTGACTTTTTATTAGACAGCCAGCCCAGACTAGGAGCTTCCTGCTTCCTAGTTTTTTTTTTTTGGCCTGAAGCCTCCTAGTTAATAACCGTCTATCAAAACAAAATTAAGAGCATTATTAAATATTGTCTTTCGCTAGCCCTATTTTTACTATCAAAAAAATGGGGAAAGCAACGATGATAATCCAAATTGGTGGATGTGTGGTCATCTAAAAAAACGAATTGATTATATTTCGTGAGCAAATGGTCTTTAATCCTATGAATAGATGTAGAGAGAAACAAAGATAGACACCTTATTATCTTATAGAATAGGATCTCATGCTGAATGATATGCATGAAAAATTAGCTGCTAATGGAGCCTAATGGCATTTTGTAATCCATACAGTCAACCTCATTTAGTGGGATAACACTTGTTATGATTGTAGTCAGCCTATGAAACCAATTACAGTGCCACAAATCACACCAAACATGCAATGACTTCAAGATTTCATTTCATTCGATGATAGAAAAACTACTCATCCATGTATTTTTAGCTACTCTTCTTTTTATACAAAATCAACGATATCAATGACAAAACCAGAAACTAGGTCTAAAACACCCAACCTTAACACACCTCACCACCCCAAGAACAAAGTAAAGGAAAGGGATCCAAGCAAAATGTTGAGAAAGATATCAAAGAAAATAACTTAAAACAAGAAACCTTATAAGCCACATTTAAGAACTCCATCATAGCTGAAATTCCTGTGTTGAACCGTGTGCCCTCAATTTCCTCTGTTACCTGCATGCTGAAAGTGAACACTTAGGCCCAATGTCCAAACTGAATTGGTAATTGAATAAAATAATTGAAAGAAATACAAAATCTATCCTAAAAGTTAATATGTTGACCTTAGCAATGCATTTATGGAGAGATTGAAGTTGTTCTAGTGTAGGTTCCTCATCAACTGTTAAAGTTCCATTCTTGAATGTGCCATCAGCCAAAGGTGAACCAACAATGAGCCTCCATGTTCGTCCTAAGAATCTATGCACACCTTCAATACCACTTGTAATCCAAGTTTTCGAGTCCCTTGGAGAAGGTTAAAGAAAGAAGCAATGGGAATAATGATGTCAGAATAAAAAGAGAAGAGAAGGGTTGCATTAAATCAAGACTCAATCCCATCTCACTTCAACATCGCAAGTAGAATTATATGGTCAACTCACCTTAATGGTCCCATGAACATTTCATATAAGCGGAGAGAATCTGCACCATACTCAGAAACAACATCATCAGGATTAACTACGTTTCCCCTACTTTTGCTCATTTTATAGGCACGCGCAATTAAACGAATATGAGGGTTATCTTTCAGGACAAAAGAGTCACCAGATTTCATGACCTGAATCAGTAGAAAAAATGCCTCGTCAAAAGAAAATAATATTTGGGCTTACTACTTCAACTATGTTTATTGAGAAATACATTAAGATAGGAAATGGAAACAGGCACGAGAAACCTTTTCCTCAGGAACTTTTTCTAAATTATTTTCACCCAATGTTGAATCAGCAGATATCAAATTTCCATCTCCATCCCTGCAAGCCATATATTGGACCTGCCAATGAAGCCATCAGAAACTAGCGGTGATGAAACATCTTTCCCTCTAATTTTCAAACAAAACTAGACTTACTTCCCCGAGGATTAGCCCCTGATTTATAACACATTGGAAGGGTTCCTTGGTGGAAACGACTCCAATGTCATAGAGAACCTGAAATAGAATATTGAATCAAATCTGCAAATATGGTAGCAACATAGAATACTTCTTTAGAGAACTAGATACCTTATTTCAATCATATATTTCATCTCAGGGTGAGTGGGTAATCTTTTGGTCAACCATGTCACCAAATACTTTAACTGCTAAAAGGGTTACTAACTTTTTAGATTTCACCTGTGGAAATGACCATTTTCTTTGTTATTCAAGAGTCAGAAGATAGCAGTAGTAGGATGATACTGACTGGAACATTGACGGGTCCCCCCAACCCATTGCTAGCGCTAGTACCAGAAACTATATCAGGAGATAAAAGGGAGTGACAGAAGGAAGAAAAGGGGGTATTACTATTCCAGAAGAGAGCACAAAGGTTTCGAATCAAAGAATAAAGGAAGTAAGGAGGTAAAAATGGGAACTCAAGATGAAAAGGTGACTGGCAGTTTGAGAGTAGTTGGAAAAGAGTATGTTAAGGTAGAAACTGAAGAAGAGAGAAGAAAGAGATATAGGTAGAAGAGAGAAAGAGACAAACAGAGGAGAGGATTCTGAATGTTCCTTCTGAACATTATAAAATCAATAGTGTACAACCCTTGGGCTAAGGATCCTAAATATAGAAATCTGACTGCCGAACATAACAAATATAATCCCCAACCTAACTAACTCTTATATATTTTATTATTTACATATCAGAGTATATCAAGGGAAGAGACTGAGGATGAAGGCAAGAAGGATTTTGGAGAGAGCTAGCTTCTCAAAAGCTAGCCCCTGGCCACTGCCATTGTCATCTTATTCAGTTCTTCTTTTGTTCTGTCTTCCCTGTCCTGTGCACTGATTACTTTACTGCCATCACTTTTTGTGTGTTAAGTAATCATAACCAGCATTCATCTTTTGGTTTCTGGTTTTTGCCCGTGATTTATGCAGATGAAGTGTGCTTTCGGGTTGTATTTTAGTAAAAAATGATGATACTAGCGTGAGTTGGGTGTTGTAACCTCCTGTTCAAGGAGTATATTTCAATATCAGTAACTGGGTTGGCAGTGTTCTTTAGGCAATTCAGCATGATATAGCAAGATCCCTATAAGATATATTCCACATAGAGATAAAATTTTGTGAGGTTCTACCAAGGAAAAAAAAAAATTCGTGAGGCACAGAGTGAAACAAATCACAAAACAATCTGACATAAATTACAAACCTTGTGCCAGAATCTAGCATACAGCAGATGAAGAACTGCATGCTCAGCACCACCAACATACACATCAACAGGGCTCCAATACCTTCCATAAAGTTAAGTTTGAAAAGCTAAGTGATCTAATCATTAAAAAATTGTATAAGTCTATAAAGTGTGTGTTTGGAAACCCGTTGGTTTTGCTAATGTAAGAACAGCTTTGTCTCAGAAGTTGCAAAAGCCTGTTGAAAACATGTCTCCAAAAGAGCAAACGAAAAAACCAAAAGCATCGAGAACTGAAGATTTTACCTTTCCTTTGTCTTGTCAACCAATTCTTTGGGGTTCTTAGGGTCCATAAATCTCAAATAGTACCTGGACAAAATAAAAGAAATACAAACACAGGGATATAATTTATCACATAAGATTTGAGTAAAACAATAATTAAAAAAAATTATAATAAGATATCTACAGTTAGTCTCAATTCAGAACCCTTTCCACAAGAATTGATTGCAACAGGAAAAACTACAACTTCAGTTTTCTGTTGTATCTAATGGATAGGAAATCCTGAATCTAGAAAACTAAGCCACCCAAAGATTTTGTAGGAATGAATCTATATTTGGAACAGCCAAATGATTTTGTACCAATAGTCTATATACTAGGAGACATATTCTTATAAACGATTTAGTTTTCATCACTATTTTCAATGAAAAGTCTAAAATAGATTTAACTAGAAAGGGGTAAATGTTGAACAGAGATACAGAGAACCAATAAAGAGATTCAAATTCAGATGATCAAAGTCTGGGCTTTGGGTCTCAATTTAATTTCAAACGAGCCCCAAAATGAAGGTCAGCAAAATCTTACATAAAATGAAGCCCAACCCAGTGTAAAGGCTGCTCCAAATCAACAAAAAAGCTAACTAGTTAAAGTTAAATGGCAAACCAGCATGAGCCAGCCCACTGTGGCATAGTGTTTGTTTCTCGAGTAGCTGGTCTTCCAGATAAAGTATCTGTAGTTTTAACCTGAAGCATTGAATAAAAAAAATTGCTATACAGGGCAAAATTGGATTAAAATAACAAATGTGAACAGAATGCCCAGAATAACTAAGAAAATAATAACTTGTGTAATACTTGGAAGAAGTGAAAACAAAGAAAAGGGCCAAAATATTCTTAAATCACTTTAAGCCCTCTAGAGATAAGACATTTCACAAAGGCCTTGCCGTTTCCACTTTAACCTAGCATAGCCAAAGGTTATATCACGTCTTGCTTGTTACTAGTCAATGACATTAAGAGATAAGATAAAAGAATGATCCTAGTTCAGAAATGATTTAGTCTACAGATAAACAGATAAGTACCGCTGTAAGACAACTCTCATTTGGACATCAGAAAGGAATCCAGGTGAGCATAGCTTTCTCTTCATGTTACAACTTAGTTAATGTATAGAAAAGTTTTAACTGTTCGAAGGACTACTTTAAAGCTCAATCTCATTTTTTTCAGCCACAAATTTGTATGGTGATGCCTGAAATCTGAACATGATAAGAGTAGGTTCAATCTATGTTAATATCTGGCAAAAATTGTCAGTGGACTGGGCTGTCACATGGCCTAAACAACAAGACACTACACATGGTTATCTTCCTTTTGTTTGTTATTCTTAATTTTATATGCTTTAAGTATCTAAACTAATTTTTACTTGTAATGAGAAAATCCTCTAACTCAAGGAACTCATTGACATTCCAAATTATAAAATTTAGAATTAAGTCAAACGGCCATGATAAAGAGATAACGAAGATGGAATATAAAAATGCCAAAGAAAAAAGAAAGAAAAATGGGAATACAGACAAATAGCATTTATTGGTATATGCATACCCAAGAAACAGCCTTGGACAGTGGAGGGTCCCCTGTTCCAGTGGGAGTAAAGTCATCCAATTCAGGTAGTACAACAGGCAGTTCAGTCTCATTAAGCGGAACTGTCTCCCCAGTATCATCCAAGAAAATGACAGGGATAGGTTCACCCCAATAACGCTGCCGAGCAAAAAGCCAGTCCCTTAACTTGTAGTTTACCTATAAAGGAGAAACAATATAATTTATACTTTACATATCATCAGAAACCTCATTCCGAAGATACGAGTTAAATTAAATTGAGATTAGACCTTTCTCTTTCCATTTCCAGTTTTCTCCGCCCATTCAATGACTTTCAAAGCACCGTTTTTACTGGACAAGCCATTAATGTCAAGTCCCACCATTGCGTTTGATGAATTTACAATAGTTCCTTCACCTGAAAAAGCCTTTCCACCTTCAATGATACTTTTATCATGTGGCATTACAACCCAGCGAACTGGAACATCATGTTTCAAAGCAAAGTCATAATCCCTAGAGTCATGTGCAGGCACAGCCATAATTGCTCCTGTTCCATAACTGCACCAGTGAAAACATTTATATGTTGGTGTCATAAGAATTTACCAAATACAGTTCATGAACCCCATGTGCATATCATGGTGAGCAGTTAATAAATGCATTTTACAAAGTTTTGCACACAAATTGGCATCCTAAGCATATGCACAAGCCAAATGGAACGTCATCAAGAATATGGTGAAAATAGAGATTTTATAGACACAAACACCTCCCCAATACATAATCTGCCACCCATATTGGAATGGCTTCCCCATTTGCCGGATTTCTTGCATAACAACCCGTAAAGACCCCCGTCTTCTCCTTCTGAAGCTCAGTCCTCTCAAGGTCACTTTTCCTTGAGGCAAGGTCCTTATATTCTTCCACCTGTAGCCAATGAATTGCCATCTTATAAATATCCATGATGCAAAACACAGATACAACTAGAAAATGAGAAAAGGATGACTTACATATTTGCTCTGGGCTGTGGAAACTAATGATGACAACAAAGAATACTCTGGCGCAACAACCAAGTAACTGAACACAATCAATGAGAACATGAAATGTTTAAAAGTTACTTTCCAGAGTTGTTCAGATTTCAGCTAATTTGTAAAATTTATATGAATTATCAGAAGATTGGATAGAAATATACGTTGCTCCAAAGATTGTATCTGGCCTTGTAGTATAGACAATAATCTTTATGTCTCTCTCCTTTCCATCACAATCAAGAACACAAAATTCCAGCTCAGCCCCTTCTGACCTCCCTATCCAATTTCTTTGCATTTCCTTTACACTTTCTGGCCAATCAAGGTTATCTAAATCTTGAAGAAGACGATCAGCATAGGCAGTGATCTTGAGCATCCATTGCCGCATTGGCTGCTTGTTAATAAACAATGACACTGTATAGATTATGAAACCATTCAAACAAGGAATATAAGAGATATATCAAAGGATTCAGAAACAGAGATGGGTATGCCAGCAAACATACCTTTCTTATCACAGGATGACCCCCCCTCTCACTAACACCATCCACCACCTCCTCATTGGCTAACACAGTGCCTAGAGCAGGGCACCAATTGACGGGAACTTCAGCCTGTACATATGATAGGAACCCCATTAGATCTTCATTGGCCAGGATTATAGATAGCAACAGATTTATAAGCTATCTTAGACCCAACCTGATATGCCAGTCCTCTCTTTAACAGCTGTAGAAAGATCCATTGAGTCCATTTGTAATAATCAGGATCTGTGGTAGATATTTCACGATCCCAGTCATATGAAAAGCCTAGTGATCTTAGCTGCAAAAACATAAAGAAGACATACTGTGAAGGAAAAATCAGCAATGCTTATCATCAGGACAGAGCTTAAGTCTATTTGAATAGTGATACTGATCATTTCCAATAGCAATAGTCAGACTCAATTGATGAAGGGGGTCGGGCGAAAAAAACTTGGAGGTGCAACCTGCAAAAGGAATTTCTCCCTTCAGATAACCACCAAACATGGGAAGCTATTTTCCTCACTTCAATTGAGTCCCTTCACAACTCTTTCTAGTGATTAGAAACTTAGACCAAATATACCATGTAATGATCCCCAGATAGCAGCTAGCAAAGCAAACCATGAACAATAAATGATACAACAATAAATTTAATTGTACCTCATCTTTAACAATAAATTTGAAGAGGTTAACACGTAACAGTGTACTGCATCTTTGATTCTTCCATGTTTTTAATAAATCTTTTATGACAAAATTAAAAGCATAACTTGTCTTTGTGAGAGTAAACACTGTCTGATCATCATTCATTCATTTGATCATATTACCTGAGAACGAAAGCGATCAATGTTCCTCATTGTAGTTATCTTTGGGTGAGTTCCTGTCTGAAATAGAGACAGACAATGAAACCAGAAATATAAATTGTCACAATATCTCTAAATAACATAAGTCAGGGGCCAAACCCAAAAAAACAAACCTGAATGGCAAATTGTTCAGCAGGCAGCCCAAAGGCGTCCCATCCCATTGGATGCAACACATTGTATCCCTGCATGCGTTTATATCTAGCTAGAATATCCGTGGCAGTATATCCCAGGGGATGGCCAACATGTAGCCCAGCTCCGCTACAAAAAATAGTTCCAAATGATAAACAGAAGCTCGCTTAAATGGTTAAAACCAATTACGGCCTCCAAAACAAATACTCAAATACCGTTACATTAGACGATCCTGACAACCTAAACAGAAAATAAATAGCAGAAACCGCTAGGAAAAAGAAAATGAAATTATAAGCAGGGGAGGAACCTGGGGTAAGGGAACATGTCAAGTACATAGTATTTAGGTTTAGAGGTATCAATATCATCATCTGCGGTTCGAAAAGTTTTGTTCTCCTCCCAAAAACGCTGCCACTTGGGCTCAATGTCATGGAAAGGGTATGGTCTATTCACCACTTGGTGGTTCGGCTTCTGATACTCCACTTCATTGGCTCCCCTAGTCGCCGAGTTCCTAACACAAGTGCCATAACTAAAGCTCCCATAGCACAATCTAAGATCAAATTGACTATTTTTAGTCGTTGAGAAATTTCGAGAACTAAGCCGCTTTGTGGGAGAAGGAAATGTAAGTGAGTGAAGCAAAGGTGGTTGAAATTGAAGCAACTGAAGTTGTGTGTGGGCGTGCATGAGCTGGGCGTTCATTTGGCATGAGACGGAAGGATGAATAAGTTGACGAGCGGCCGAGAATTAAGATAATGCGAGGAAGGAGGATGATGGCGCTCAACGCTTCAACGTAAGGATCTTTTATTTTTATTATTTTGGAATTGGGCTGAATCACGAGAGTTTGGGCCGTGTGGTGTTTGGATGTATCAACTGTCCTTACAAGATTTTAAGTTAGAAGTGGATTGATTAAGTGCCATACGCTTTCAAAATTATTTGGTATAATCAATAAGTAGATGTAAGAAAGATTAATGTTGGATATTAATTATGGGTAGACTTAACTTGATGTAGGAGTAAGTGCAAAATATAACCTAGAATAAAATTATGTTTAACAGATGTGTATATGTGTGTAATAGTAATACCCAAGTCGTAAGTTCACGTTACAAAGTTTGACAAATTATTAGTTATCAACTTATGTGAAGTATAGCATTTTATTGGCAGACAATCAAATGTGTAAGAATGATTTCGATTTCTATTCTTCTATTTATATTGTTAATGTAGTGTCATTCTTCATCAAACTACAACTTTGACAATAATCTGAGGTTTTGATAATGTTGAAGGAAATTTTTAACTTTGTGATCCACTCAATTGTTATGAAATGGGAAGTCTCTCTCCCCATCACAACAATAACCCATCAAATTGACAAGCTCCTTGTGTCTTAATTTTCGTTCACACAAACCTGAAGAAGAATCCCTATCCCTGAAATTAAAAAAAAAAAAAGATAAATATAACTTTTAGTTCTTATACTTTCCTAGCATTTTGTTTTTAATCCCTATATTTTTTTGGTGTTTTAGGTCCCTATACTTTTATTTTTTATTGTTTTAGGTCCTTTCAAGGTCCCTATACTTTACTAATAGAGGGATTGAAAATAATGAAAAATAAAAGTGTAGAGATCTAAAACACCAAAAAAAAAAGGAATAAAAGCAAAACGCGAGTAAAATATATGAACCAAAAGTTATGTTTACCGAAAAAAAACCCAAATTCAAAACAAATCATAATCAACAATCGCATATTTACAATCGATACAAACAAAAAAAAAAAAAAAAACTTAGTCATTTAAGAAATAATTGACAACCTAAATAAAATTGAAACAAGATCTGGATCATAATCAATAGTCAAATCAAGAAATCCCAACACATCGATTTTAGAGAGAATGGAAGTGAGAAATAGTCATATTGGTAAAACCCATATTAGAAATCATCATTGTTTGGAATTGAAAAAACCCAGACCATATTTAGATCAGAATTGGCATTCTTAAGTTGACTTGTGCCTTTTCACCTAGTGTTGAATCAAATGGCATTAAATCCCCACCCACTATGATTTACAGCCTAAGCTTTTCCTCTTTAAAATGATGTTGAATCCATGTGCTTGCGCCTGTGCTTGCGATCGCAACCTATATCATGTTTGCATTGAATCCCCACCCTCAGATCTCAACCTAAGCTTACTTGTGTCTCTATTTTCACGACCCAAATGATGAAGATTGAGATTTAGGTTTTGGTTCCTCTTGAGCTTTGGATTTATGGATGGAAGAAGAGTGATGAAGACATGGGTGGGAGAGGAGGGAGAGAGAAGGAAGGGGAGGGAGAGGGCTGGATAAGGGATGAAGCAAAGGGAAGATGTTGAGGCTGAAGGCTAAAACTAGTAAATGTTAGAAGCTTGGAGAAGGGATAAAGCTTATAAAGTCCACATACTCTCAAGGTTGGAAGGAAGGCAAAAAAGAAATGAATAAAAAATGACATGGACTTACATGTGGCAGACAAGGAAAGCATTTAACAGTTAAATTAATAGTCAAAGTCTAAATTTGTTAACCTAGGGTGACATTGTACTAAAGGATTAAAGTATAAAACTACCTTCAATATATTCACCCAAACACACCCTATATTCTAAAGTATTTTTTAGCATAATTTTGCCCTTATATTTTTTTATTTAGGTACAATGACACCCTCTCGTCACGCTTTAATGGCTTTGATTATTAATTTTGAAAATTTGACTGTTTTGTGCTTAGCCAGTCATCCATATCACCTTCTCTCCCTTGCTATGTTAGATATTTCTCTAACTTTTAATTCTTAATCTCATCCACTTTACCCCAAGCTAACCTATCTCCCTTCCCTCCCTCATCTTCATCCCTCTCATCTTGGTCCCTTATTGATAGTGAAACATTTCCATATCAAAATTCTAAATCCACTACCAAAATCAACATTATAACATTTAGAGATAAAAAAATTTCATATCCACAACCACAATCAACATCTAGCAAAAGAATATTTACCTCTAAATTTTACAACAAATTAAACAAATCAAAACAATTTTGTTAACAAATAATCAAAGAAGATGAAGCATCCTCCTCATTAAATAATGGAGAAGATCAAACCATATAAGCAAATATGAAACATATTGAATAATGGTCTATAAGAGATGAGGAAAATCAAACATGGTGAAACCAAACAACATATATAATTAGTTGGATAAATAAATAGATCCCACTTATTTGAGTCCTACCCTTCTGTAATGTTCTAGATTTTAACTTTAAAATTTCCACTATTTATAAGGATATCTTAGTTAAATTAAGTGAATTTCTAATTAATGTTATTTTAGAGAGACTAATATAGCTTTTGGATTATTGGACGACCTTAGAAGAGGGCTAAATCGGAGTTTAAGAGAGCTGTGGCATAGAGAAAGGCCTAAAACAAGTTTGGGGGTTCTCTATGCCATACACCACAGGGCACATGCAAAATCTACATTTATCAGCTCACAAAATCAAACAAAAAATGAGAAGTAAGATAGAGAAAACACGAAGAGATGATGAGTAACGATCGATGGGTGCTAGGGCTCAACCTTGGGATCATTTTGAAAGCATTGGGACCAAGATTTAACTTTATATAAGATTCCTACACTTCTCCTTATCCCTATATTCAAACTCTTCTAATGATTAAGATACTTTGGGGTTTTGATTCAGTTTTTCTTAGATAATGACTGAACCCATTACTTAGTCAAAGTTTTGAGTAGTTAAATTAAGCCTCTAAACTTATATTTATACATTATATAATAATTTAAAGTTGTTGGTTAGGCTTTGGACAAACCCTAGGTACAAATTTGATTATTAAGAGCAATGTGGGTAATGTAATAGTATTATCTATGTGTTAGGATGTTAAGTAGGATTAATGAAGTGTGTTGTAAGTATTGTAGGGGTTGAATAGAGGTATTAGGTATAATGGTACCCAAATTTGTATTATTAATGGAGTGATTATTGTGTGAATTAATAATTTAGGATTTAATCTTATAGATTAGCTTTGATCAAGCATGGTGATGCTTGTGGATGCAAGTAGAGCCATTGGTTGACCATAGTGATAAGAGGATTGAGATAACTAGATTGTCTAATCTCCCTTTTTGTGTGTTTGGATAGTAGTATGTTAGATTTCAAAGTTAATACTTTAGTTTGGTACTAGTATAGTAATAATATGAAATTATGAATTTGAAGTTATGTGAAGTGGAATGAAAATTTATTTTAATGCTTTTAGTATTTGAAAAGTTAAATGTTATCTATATATATATATATATATATATCTACTTGTGAAATTTTATGATTTAAATAAAAATAAGAAATTATGATGAATTATATGTTATGACTATGTGTAAGAGTATTGAGCATGTTTGGAATGATTATTATGAGAGGGTGGGAGCTCACCCTAATGTATTATTAGGATATTGTTTGAAAATTCATATAATACACTGGCACCCTAAAGGCCTCGGTGCTCAGTATTATATTATTTAAAAGTCTCAATACTACATAAGGTAAATTGGGTATTGACACCCCTAGTATTTATGGATAGGAGGAATATATGGTTCATATTGGGCAAAGGTGCTCTTTGCCAAGGCTACCTCCTATTAATGGTGAGCTTGGGCCAATCCAATTGTATGGATTTAGTCCTATCGAGCTATCAACCCACAAATTCAATCGAAAGACATAGGGAAGGTATAAGGTGGTTTGTTAACCATGCATTTCATACTAGAAACATGCGCGCATGCATAAGACTTGATATATGATTTGAATGTGGCTCTACATACATATAAACTATTCTCACACACGAGTAATTGATTAGACTATTTGGTTACTAAATACTCGACTCACCCCGTTATTACATTTTATAGGTGGAGGCTCTAATAGGGGCAAGAAAAAGGAAGGTACAATTGAGTATCGAGGGGACTAGCCAGATTGTATAGCTGCTCTCATTTATTTTGATTTGTAATAAATATTGAATGCATATGCTAACTTAGGACATGTGTGGTTTTGTGATGTACTTACATTATGTTTGTTCCTAACTATGGGTATTTCAGCCTAAGTTTGATGTATCTATATTCTAATGGCTATGAGGGGTCGAGATACTAGTACAAGTGTTAGTTTTGTAATGATTTATGTATTGGATTGGCTATTGGATTGCTTTTGAAAAGTTATTACCCTTTGTGGAAATTTTATTAAAATCGAGGTCTTGGTGGCTGAATCTTGTCTAGATTGTTATTATTGTGGTTTAAATATGTGTACAAGTTGTGTATAGTCCATTCGAGTTAGTTCAAGTAGTTCCACAGCTATTGGCATTTAGGTTGAGAGTTTGGGTACCTCAATAATGGTTTTGAAAGAAAAAGTACTATTTTATGTTTGGATGTCTAAATCTCATTTGGCTCAGTGTTTGGGTGTAAATCCATGCTAATAGCTAGGTGGCTCTAAGAGCTACGTGTGGATATTTGAATCACTTGAGTCGAACATCGAATGGTAGAATGGCACACTCTGAATGTTAGCTTAGAGAGCTGTCATGACAGTAGTTTATTGTGATGACAGTGGCCGCATGCTACGACGCATTGTCCATCGCACCGTGGCACAAAGAATAAAGAAGGACATTTCCCTCTATGCAGTCTACCGCGATAGACAATGCCCTACCCTACGGCGCACAACGCACTGTGCTCTATTGTTGTAAATTGTTTTGTTCTTTATTATTTTTCATGGGATGTATTCTTTTGCTTTCATTGTCTTATTTAATTAATTTTAAACTATATTTTGAGC